TCCCCACCCTTTTTTTTTTTAAGAATTATCTTTACTTAACTTTATTTTATTATTTATTTATTTAAATTTGACCAGAGAGGGATGGGGGTGGGGTAGGGGATGTGAGGAAGCAAGCCACCAGGTCTGAGACTCAAAACTGTGGTCAGCCATATGGGAGTCCAGCACCCTCAACCAAACCACATCACCTGCCAGCCCCATCCCTTCTTTTCTTAAACTTTTTGATTTGATTTTTTTGCCATAGGGTATGTGTGCTCACTGGAGAAAGGGAGGGAGAGACAGAAAGTGAGAAAGTAAAGTACCCTCCAGGGGAGATGGCCATGCTGTTATTTCCTCTCCTTCATTTTTCTCTTGGGAGGTTGGGCTTGTACACCACATGTACCTGGCATGATTGTCAAGCTATTGAGTTCAGGACTCCAACCATCAAGTTGACCATCTGGGATCTAGTCGCCTTAACAACCATGCCACTGGCTGGCTCTATTGCTGGAATCTTTTCGCTGTTGACTGTATCTCTATCACTGTGGGTGATATTACAACTTTTAGTTCATTACAATCTGAACTGCAGAAATCTGAAAATCTTTTTTCTTTGAAAAGTTTTTGCAATAAGGCATGTGTGCTTGTCAGAGACACAGACAGTGAGAGGGAAAGTGAAAAATCACTCCCTGGCGGGGGGATAGCAATGTTGCAATCCCTTCTCCCGCTAAAATCTCCTTGCACACAAACGTGTTTGGAGTCTTTTAAGCCTCCGAATCTTGGATGCTAACTGCGCTCTGCAGCATTGGGGTTCAGGGATGCAACCACTGCGCCATCTGCTGTGCCCCAAAACCTGAATATCTTACTTTTTTTTTCCTTTTGGAGAGGTTTTTGCCATAAGGCGCGTGCGCTCACTAGCAAAACAGAGAGAGACATAGAGACAGAAAGCAAGAAATCACCCCCCAGAGGAGATGGCCACGCTGCAATCCCTTCTCCTCTTGGGATCTTGGGCCCGGGCGCGCGCACAAACACATGGGCCTGGCATGAGTTTAAGCCGCCGGGTCGGGGACGTGAACTGCAGTCCGCTTCATGGGAGTCCAGCAACATAGCCATTACGCTAACTGCAGGTCACCCGAATTTTGTTTTTATAAAGTTGCAGGCCATCTCACAGGTCCCCAACCTGCCCCGCTGCCCTAGAGGCGGGGATTCTAAAAACTCTTGGGTGTCCACCTGAGGGTCAAGGGGTGGGCAGCAGGCCAAGGAGGAAGACCCTCTGAGGGGGCTGAGAGAACCGGGAAAGTAAGAAAAGAGTGCCCCTCCTCTCCCAACCGCCCCAGCCGCAGGCTAACATTGGGGTCCCCGCCCGCTCCGGCTCGGGGTGGGAGCCGAGGCTGGGTGGGGCACCGGCTCATCCACTCAGGCGTGAAAGGCCAAGGCCCCGCAGGGTAGTTGAGGCAGCAGCGAGACTGGAGACCCTGCTCGCCACCTCCCCGCTCCCGTCTGTGTCGCTGCGGCTGGGACTCCCCATCTCCTCGCCACCATCACGTTGAGGTGGAGAGGTTCCTCGCCCAACGCTGTGAGACAAGACAGAAGCTCCGGCCCCTCCTCAGGGTCCTCTCACCGCCAAGCAGCTACCCAGTCTCAGCCCGCCGCAGCCACCTCTCTGCCCACGGCCGCAGGCTCCGGG